GTAAACACAATTTAAAGCCCTCTTTTGTACCAAAGTGCTGATGTGTCTTTGTCTCCCAGTGAAACAATGAACTAGGCCCCCCCTTTGTGGATATTAAGTGTCACTGCGCCCCCTAGCCCTCACTCATGACCCCCCCCCCCTTTGAGAATCATGGAAATATGGAAATGTGAAATAATTAATTTAAAACAAAATAAACTGCATGCCAATAGTGTGATTTTGTTTTGCATCATGAGTTCATGCTAGTTAGATAACACAAACTTGCAAAATGAGAAATAGTCAACTACACAATGTAATTTTATTTAAGAATGAAATTCAATATCATTGGTGTATTAAACTCAATTAGACTACAAAATTTGCTAACTTAAGTACCACCGTTGATTTAGCAGTCTAATATGCATTTCTGGCAAGTTATAAGTGGTTAGCCCCTAACATAAGTGTTAGCATTACTGTGGCTTCTGTCCAGCTGACTCGCCTGACTTGCGAGCGAAAAAGTCTAACATGCTGAAAATCTGCAGCAGGACACAGACTTTAGTTTAGACAGCTCCACCTCATCATTTCAATTTGACTGCACTGCAACTACTGTAGCATAAGCTTCCTTTCCATAAACAACTAAAGTGGCTGTGAAGCATCTTCATTTGAATTAAAAACAAAATTCTCAAACTGCCTCCAGAAACCCTGCTTTTTCCCACCGATCTGCCTCCTCTCCTCCGTGACCAGGAAACTGATTTCATGATGCCTTACTGGCTGTACAAATAGTGGAGGAAATTAGATAAGCTGTTCCAAACACCTGCCGAAGTGGCTTTGGGTGGAGGATAAGTGAACCTATGCTACCCAGGAAGTCTTATACAGGTTTTGAAGTGACATCACTGCATGCACGCCCAGAGAGGATGGACAAACATGGAGCAATCTAACTATGCTTTAGATTCTAAAAGAAAAACAAATAACACATCATAATAGCCACAGTTTATCAACATCCACTTTTATGACAAATCAACAGTCAGATTTTGCCAAACTCTTCATTCCTCCTGCTTTTTTCAACTCCTTTATTCCTTTGTGTTTTTATGGGGCAGGAGAGAAGCAGTAGAAAGGGAGGGGGTGGACAGGAGTGATAGCAAAAGTTTCTGGATGCAGCCTTGTTCTTCTCACAGACTGTGACCAGGCTAAACCACTGACCATTTACACAGGGGGTGCACTGGAGGGGTAACAGAATGCAGAACGCAATGCTATTGGCACCTATTCTCTGTAATGAGAATAATGAATCTTTGCAGGACCCTGTCTCTTTGGGTCCCTTGGAATTGTCCAAATCATCCACTGCCTCTCCCCCTGCCCATAACAGCATGCATGATGTGTGTGTGTGTGTTCAGTATTGATGAGAGAAAGCGATAGAGTGCAGAGGGCCGCTTCAGTCCTGTTTCACTTTTCTCACACATCACAATGAAGAACAAAGCACAAGGGCTGAGAAACCCCAATACAGCAGAATCTTCTCTTATGAAAATCATATAAAAAAACACTCCCCTCCATATAAAACTCCTCTAAATAAAAGTCATCTAAAACACTCCTCTAAAGGCGAGGCCTGCGCCACTCTCTCTCTCTCTCTCTCTCTCTCTCTCTCTTTTCCACAAGCCCACACCCGCTGAAAAGTGAATAAATAAAAGCAGCACGGCAACGCGCGTGGGGGCTGGAGCGCAGCTGAATCACCCGCACGCTGCTTTGATCAGCCGCAGCCGGAGTCTCACGCTATAAAATATCTGCAAAAGACGAAGAGGCAGTGAGTCAGTGTAGACTAACAGTGCTAAAGTTCCGCCTGAGTCACACCCCAACACACGCACACAACCATACACACAAACACACACACACACACAACCATACACACACACAGAGGCCTCACAGACACATACATACCACACATACACACCACACGCACACACAATACACACACAGACCTCATTAACACATACATACCACATGCACACACCATACACACACACACAGGCCTCATATACACATAATACACACATACATACCACATACACACATCATATACACACACACAACACACATTATACACATACACACACCACACATCATGCACGCGCACACACACACACACATTATACAAACACATCACACACTCACATCATACACATATACACACATCATACACACATTACACATACACACCACACATCACGCACGCGCACACACACACACACACTATACAAACGCATCATACACATACACAAACACACCATACACACATCACACACACACACATCATAAACTCACATCATACACATATACACACATGATACACACATTGCACACACACACATATCATACACACACATATCATTCACATATGCACATATACAAACATCATGCACTCACATATCATATAGACACATACACACATAATACACACACAAGTAAAAAACCCACACACATCTTACACACTCATACACGCATCATACAGACATACATCTTAAACACACAGACACACATAATACACTCACATCATACACACATCACACACATATCACACAAACAGCTAGAGCATTCATAATACACAAATAAATAAATAAATAAATAGGCTATTTTGGAAATATGTCAGGACGATGGAAGCAGTGATGACGGTTATTATTATTAATTATGAATGTTGTTTTGTTGTTATTTGATCGGTGACCTTGTGATAGCATTAATCATTAATGGCTACGATACGAGAAATATGACTGTCACACACACACACACACACACACACACCGCTGCACAGCGCGGAGAGACAAAAGGAGCGCGAGCGGCGGGCAAGGGGGGGCAGAGGCAGGGACTGCGTGACGTCATATGCACTCAGCTGACACACGCTTCTTCCCATGCCTCAACTGGCCAGAACACACACTCACATACACACTCCTCTAGCTCAAACACTCTCGCTCTCTCAGTATGAGCGCGAGCAGTGTGCTGAGCTGGCTGCTATAAAATGGCAGAGCGCTCTGTGAGCAGCGCGTGAGCCGGTGTGTGTGCGCGTGTGTGTACGTTCGCCTTCATCAGTCGCTGATTTCATCCTTCGTTCAGCTGTTTGACAGACCGGACTTGACTCTGATTCTCCGCGATGAGCGGGAGCGCGCGGGACGCCGAGCTCGCGCCGCCCATCTCTTTCCGCCGCCGCAGCTGAGAACCCCTGCGGCGCGCGCGAAGTCCTGGACTTTGGGCTCAAGCCACATTCGGCAGCATCCATCCGTCTGCACTTCCCGGGACACACACGCACGCGCGCGCTTAACGGAAGGTGACCGACCGGTCTGTGTGGAGCGCGCGGGAGGCAGAATGGCGCCGCGGGAAGGGCTCTTCCAGATTCTTGTCGATGCACTTGGGTCGTGCAACGTGGAATAAAAAAGCGCGCACGCGCACGCGACCTGCACCTGCTGCACGCGGCTGCCGCCAGACTCCATCATCAGCAGCATTAGCAGCTTCACCATCATCAGCATCATCATCATCTGGACCAGTAGCAACAGCGAGGCTCCTGCTAACTGCGAAGGAAGACTCGCACGCCGGTTTAGTCAGCGATGCGAGCCTGCTTTTGAGTAAACACACGGACTACTCTCGAGCGCGTGCCACCCCGCCCGTGGGCCGCCGGACGCACATGGCACGCGGCGCCGAGTTGTGACTGGCCAGAAACGCCTGGAGACAACCACTGCTGACCAGAAGAAGACTGCAAGGGAGCGCGTGATAATGATGATGAGTGGCTACACGAGCCTGTTCGTTCGAGCGCGGGCAAACGCGGCGTGCGCGCCCCAGCGCGGAGTCCAGACCTCAGCCGGCGCGCTGAACACGTTTGGCTAGTCCTTAGTACTCACACACGCGCGTGCACACACCCACCCATACGTACAGACAGAGCGGAAAAAGAGCGGGAAGGATGGAGCTTTCGGAAGTGCGCTGCTCGAGCGCGAGCGACGAGCTGTACACCATCAACAAGACGCCCGCGAGCTCGAACGGTGCGCGGCCCAAACGCCTGCTGTGGCAGAACGCCGTGCGCCACATCACCGAGCAGCGCTTCATCCACGAGCACGTCGGCGCCAACAAGGCCGCGTCTCCGGACGCGCAGGACGCCGGAAAGACGGCAGGAGACCGACAGCGGCAGCAGCAGCAGCAGCACAACAACGGCGGAACTAAAGTGTTCCCCGAGCGCTCGAGCAGCGACCTGGGCTTCGTGCAGCTCGACTGCGCGCCCAGCAACTCGGAGTTCTTCCTGAGCTGGGGCTACACGTACCGCGGCGTCATCTTCCCCACGCTGCGCTACGCCTTCAAGTCGCGCGAGCTCGAGCGCCTCTACCAGCGCTACTTCCTGGGCCAGCGGCGCAAGTCCGTGGTGGTCATGAATATCCTGGACGTGGTGACCAAGCTGACGCTGCTCGTGCTGCACCTGACGCTTGGCGCCACGCCCGTGGACCCCATCCGGGGCATGCTGCTCGGCTTCTTCACGGGCGTCGAGGTGGTCATCTGCGCACTCGTGGTCGTGCGCAAGGACACGAGCTCGCACGGCTACCTGCAGTACAGCGGCGCGGTCACGTGGGCGGCCATGGCCACGCAGATCCTGGCCACGGGCCTCGGCTACGGCCTGCTCGGGGACGGCGTCGGCTACGTGCTCTTCACGCTCTTCGCCACCTACAGCATGCTGCCGCTGCCCCTCACGTGGGCCATGGCGGCCGGCGTGCTCACCTCCGCGCTCCACGTCGCCCTGCAGGTGCTCGCGGCGCCCCACGCGCAGCTCTCCACCAATCAGGTAAGAACCAGTAAGGCGCGCCTTAACCGTTTTTTATTCCCTTGAACATTGTTCTGTGGATGCTTTGTACTGTTTCAGGATCTGAATGTCCTGACTTTGTAGGGAAAACAAAGACAAACAGGGTAAATTCACAAGATTAAGACCAACTGAAAGGTCCTGGCTTTGTAAGAAAAACAGGGCTGATTCTCAAGATCAAGACCAACTAAAAGGTTCTAACTTTGAAGGAAAAACAGAAAAACAGGGCTAATTCACAAAATCAAGACCAAATAAAAGGCCCTGACCTTGTAAGTAAAACAGAGAAAAACAGGGCTAATTCTCAAGATCAAAACCAACTGAAAAGTCCTGACTTTGTAAGAAAACAGGGCTACTCTACAAGATCAGGACCAATTAAAAGGCCTTGACTTTTTTTTTTTAATATCTCAGTATCTCAATAATACCACAATATCTCTCAAATCAAAATTTCTTTTTAAACTCACGAGTCAAAAACATTTCTCTTTTGTTACTGAGATTAAGAAGAGGGTTAAGTTTGGCGTATGGAATGTAGAAATTAAATTCCAAAGGTTTGTAAGTTACAGACTTACAGAAAAGTCACATATACTTCACATGTGAACTGTGCAAAAACCTCATGTTTTTACTCACATGTGAAACTCGTGATTTTTCTGTAGGGGCGCACCTATTCATCTAACAGTTCCTCTGAAATCTGAGGTATTAATAGACTGAGTAGATTAATTGCAGCAGTAAAAGCCTGTACTCTTCTGGAAAAGCTTTCATTTTTTGTGTCTGAACTTAAAAAAGTAAGTCAGCTTGATGATGTAAAACATTTTAGTTAAAGAAATTAGCAGAACATAAAATCATGAATTTCTGTTCTGTTAACTTACTATTACAAATTCAAAGTTTCATTGCAGTAACTTGACTTGCTTTTTTGATTCCTTTTTTTTCAGTGTACAGATGTTGTGAGGATTTGATTGCATAAGCATTAGTGAGGTCAGGACAGGTACTGGTGTTGAATAATTAGTTCTGAATCGGCACATTTACTCATCTCAGAAGTACTAGATGGAGCACCATCACTCCAGAGAATGCAGTTCCACTGCTCCACAGCCTAGTGTGTGTGTTGGGTGGGGGGTCTTTATAGAGAGGTCTAGCCAACGCTTGACTATTTTGAGCTTAGGCTCATGTGTGTCTCCTCCAGTGCATCCCATTTTATTCACAGTGCTTTTCTATGGAGGCTATACAAGCAGCGTGTGCACAATTGAGTGCCTGTGTCAGCAGTTGGTGTACCTATAGCTGAATTCACTAATTAGAAAGGATGTCTGGATACTTTTGGACTTGAACCCAAAATCTGACAGCTGTGTACACTCTCAAAAATAAAGGTGTGAAACTGTCACTGGGGTGGGACCCTCAAGGGTACATATCAGTACCTTTAATGAAAGATCATAGTTGTACCATAATCCATTGAAACTATTGTCTAAGTTGTATTGACTCCACACACCCCGTCTCACCTCCAGGCTTTTTATTTTATCGTACTGTTTTAAAACATTAGGTTATGAAAAGGTACAAATACGTACTTTTCACCTGGAAAAATGTATTTAAGGTACACAGTTAGACCTTAAAACCACTGTTGTACCTTGGAGGGAACATTTACATTGTTTGTACTTTGATGGATGAAAAATGTACCTGCTCAGTATCTTTATTTCTAACAGTGTATGAAAACAAACATGTTGGTGTGTGAAAGTGTCTGTGCTTTCTCTGCTGTAAGTCTGTCACTCAAAAACTCAACACAGATGCACTATTTAAATTTAGGTTGAACTGAACCTAAAACATTTTTTTACAGTGTAGTAATTTTATAATCTATTCCATAGTGTGTGGACATCATTGGTTACAATCTGGCCTTTTAAAAGAAGTGGAAACATCAGAAGGAAAAGCTTTGAACTAATCTTGTTACTGCAAAAATCCCTCCTTACTGCACAAAAAAGCTATCTTGGCAAGTGAAATATCTTAAATTTCTCTTTTCAAGATTGTTGCAAGCTTATTATAAGATTACTTAACATATTCTTAGATTTTTTACTTGTTATAAGTAGTTGTATGATGTGAAAGTATTTCCTTTGTTGACAAGTAATGTAGTTTGTTTCAAGCATACGTACAATATAGGTAGATCCTGTAATAAGCTACAACAGTCTCAAAATGAGAAATATTAGATATATTGAATACATTTAAGATCATTTCAAAGATTGGACACTGCAAAAACTTCTATCCTGGCAAATGAAATGATCTTAAATGTATTCAATATTAGATATATTGAATACATTTAAGATCATTTCATTTGCCGGGATATAATTTTTTGCAGTGTCCAATCTTTTTTTTCATCCACAATTTCACCCAAATATTGTCTCTGTGTTGCGTGAGAATCCTGGCACACACAGGTCGCTGTCCATGTGCTGAAACGGTGCTTTTCTCAGGATGCGCTCGGAGCCAGCTGTTGGCGGGCATCCCCAGCAGCTTCTGCACACATGTATAGATTCTCTACCACACACATTTTCATATATGTCTCATCAAATTTATGCAACTTTGCTAAAGGACATATTTTTGTATGCTCAGAACTGTGACTGAGGGATGTTTTTGTTGAATTGCTTTTCTTCATGCTTCCTTTACTGAGTGATACAGTTTTAGGAATTAAAGTTTCTAAGGTCTTGATCATTCTTTTAGGTGCACTGCCAAAAAAGACATGCCAGCTTAGATGCACTGAAAAGAATTAACAAGACGCTGTGCTGTTATATAATGATTTGCTAATGCTCTCAAGACATGCCACTCCACCCAGTGTTATCTAATGTTAACCTTAATGTTCATGTTAGACTGTTTATTCGGATTGAAATAATTCTATGTGTAATTTTGGTGTACATTTAGTAGATTGATTCCTTGGAACTTGCTGTGTGATGTATTTTGATAAAATGCATATTTTTGCTGTCACAACAAAACCTCCTATCATCTCCTAAATGGTAACTTTACCAGATAAGTTAAAAAACGTTTTTAGCTTTGAATGGAAGTTAATGGAACAAGATAAAGTAATTTGGGAGCATTTCTGTTCATCCACTAATGAAATTTTAACACAACATAAACAGTTGGCATCTATTCAAAAAAGGCAAAAAATGGACATACAAGGTTTTGTTCCAGTGGCAGTATTTTAAACCATAATTTGAATGGAATTATTTTGATTCTTGAAAGTTTTAGAGTGATGAAATCAGTGCTATCAGTGATGAATATATCATGTTAGAAGTTGTTAAGAATTTAGATCTTTCTGTGAGTCATGAGTGTACAATTGTGTCAGTGCGCTATATATGGGCCCCTGCGGCAAGGGCCCCAAAGTGAATGTGCCTTTGTAGAATCTTTAGAAAGATGTTTTGTGCTAGTAAATGGATTTTCACTGTAGTCTAATTGATTCCCCAGTAGGAGGGAAGTTTTATGGATCACTGAGTTCATTCTAATGTCTTTAATAGGCAGTGTGATTTATCACACTGTGAACTTTACACATCATCCTGAAGGTTTCTAGTTAACATTCAGCTTAGTGAATGATTTCTTATTAACATTCCAAGATCCTTGCACTTGAAAGTTGGTGACAGTTTGTTTATTTGTATTATATGTACTTCTTTACTGCAAGACAGGGTGTTTAGACTAAACACAAATAACATTTTTATACAGGCAGTCTATCACATCCTTCTGTTCCTGAAACAGAACTGTGACATTAAAGTTGGATCAGTGCAGTGTTTGCCACACTGTTGGACTGGTGCAAAAGCTTTTTATCTGGGTGGTGAGCATTTGTTGCTCAGAGAAACCACTAACATTAGAATAAACACAAATAAAGATTTTTAGACAGGGAGTCTGTTACATGTCCTGTTCATAACTTTGATATTAAAGTTGCTTCCAACTTTTATATCACAGTTCTGTTTCACAAACAGTACAAATAATATACTCCCTGTCTAAAATATGTTATTTGTGTGTTTGGTGCAGTGTTTTGTACACAGTTGGGTTAGTGCAATGTTTTCAATACTGTTGGATTAGTGCAGTGTTTTTAATACTATTGGTTTAGTGCAGTGTTTTAATACTGTTGGATTAGAGCAGTGTTTTTAATAATGTTGGATTAGTGCAGTGTTTTTAATACTATTGGATTGGGGCAGTGTTTTTAATACTATTGGTTTAGTGCAGTGTTTTTAATACTATTGGATTGGGGCAGTGTTTTTAATACTATTGGTTTAGTGCAGTGTTTTTAATACTAGTGGATTGGTGCAGTGTTTTTAATACTATTGGATTAGTGCAGTGTTTTAATACTGTTGGATTAGAGCAGTGTTTTTAATAATGTTGGATTAGTGCAGTGTTTTTAATACTATTGGATTGGGGCAGTGTTTTAATATTGTTGGATTAGTGCAGTGTTTTTAATACTGTTGGATTGGTGCAGTGTTTTAATACTGTTGGATTAGTGCAGTGTTTTAATACTGTTGGACTGATGTAGTGTTTATTATTTGGAGCACTGTTAGATTGGTGCAGTGTTTGGAACACTATTAGATTGGTGCAGTGAATGGAAAACTGTTGGATTGGTGCAGTGTTTAGAACACTTGGACTGCTGCAGTGATTATTAGGATCACTGTTGGCTTGGTGCAGTGTTTGGAACACTAGTGGATTGGTGCAGTGTTTGAAACAACTGTTGGATTGGTGAATTAGTGCAGTGTTAGAGGCACTGTTGGATTCTTGCAGTGTTTAGATCACTGGGAATGATGCAGAGTTTGGAACAGTATTCAACTGGTGCAGTGTTTTAATACTGTTGGATTGGTGCAGTGTTTGGAGCACTACTGGAATGGTGCGGTGTTTGGAACACTTGGATTTTTGCAGTGTCAGAAACACTGTTGGATTAGTGCAGTGTTTGGAGCACTATTAGACTGATGGAGTATTTAAAACACTGTTGGACTGTTGCAGTGTCTGGAGCACTGTTGAGCTGATCCGGTGTTTGCAGT